TTATCGGCGGACACAACATCTTTGTTGGTATGTGGTGCTGAGAATCGAACCCGGGGCCGCACGCATGCCAGGCGAGCACACTACCGCTTGAGCCACATCCCCAGCCCCAATCATATGACTTTTACTTAGCATATAATGTTGTAGCATAGAGCAGTACTTCATTCCTTTTAATGGCTGAATACTATTCATGATATGGATATGCCACATTTTATTTATTCATTGGTTAGTTGATAGGCCTTTGTGCTGTTTCTACTGATTATCACAAATAATGCTATGAACATATAAATTTTTGAGTGAACATGTTTTTAAGTTCACAAGGGTATATATCAAGGAGTGAATTTTTGGGTCATATGGCAATGCTGTTTAATCTCTTAAAGAACTGCAAAACTATTCTCATAGATGTTGATTCATTCTACATTCCTACCACCAGGATGAGGATTCCAATTTCTTCACATCCTTACTAATACTTGTTATTGTCTCTTTGATTAYAGACAACATAGTAAAGTGATACCAATCCCCGCTCCCCCCAAGTACCTTCTGCATGCTAGGCAAGCACTCTATCACAAAGTTACATTCGCAAAATAATTTTGAGATGGGGGTCTAGTTAGGCTGCCAAGGCTGTCCTTGAACTTGTGATCCTCCTGTCATAGCCTACTGATTTGCTGGGATCATAGGCATACATCAATGTGCCTGACCTTGTGATTCAAAACCTAAGGACTTAGTGATGTTGAGTATATCTTCATGTGTCATTTATATATCTACTTTGTGGTGATATGTATGGGATCAATGGTGTGCACCTAGTGTTCTTCGAAGTACAGAATTTTTTTGGACCTGGAGTTGAATCCGGGGCGCTTAATCACTGAGCCACATCCCCCTTTYTTGAGACAGGGTCTCGCTAAGTTTCTTAGAGCCTCACCAAGTTCCTGAGGCTGTCTGAACTTGTGATCCTCCTGCCTCGGTCTCCCTCCGGAGTCACTGGACTTACAGGCATGTGCCACTGTGTCCAGCTGAAACACAAAATCTTTTAATTTTGATGAAGTGCAACTTATTTTTTCTCTTTGGTGGTTTTTGCTTTTAGGATCACATCTAAGAAACTCTTTGAGTAATTCAAGTTATGAAAATTTATGGTTATTTTTTTTTCTTCCTATGAGTTTTATAGTTTTGGCTTTTGTTTGAATCTTTGATTCTTAAAAATATTTGTAAATGGTGTGAAGCAGGGTTCCAACTTTTCTCTTTTCCTTTTGGATATCCAGTTTCCCCAGCACCATTTGTTGAAGACTATACTTTCCCCTGTTGAACTGGCTCAGAACTTTTGTTCAAAGTCACTGACCATACACAGAAAATTTAATTCCTGTATTCTCAATTATATTTCATTGACTTATGCTTCTGTCTTTATGCCAGTATAGAACCATCAGTCATGATAGCTTTGTAGCAAATTTTGAAATCAGAAAGTGTTAAATCTTTCCAAACTTTTTCTTATTTTACTGCATAGATGAGGGCCCTCCAATATCCTTAGAAGTGGTGACAGCAGTTTTTTTTTTTTTGTTTTTTTTTTTTTTTTTTAAAGACATGCTCTTGCTATGTTGCCCAGGCTTGTCTCCAACCCATGGGCTCAAGTGATCCTCCTACCTCAGCCTTCTGTTGAGACTAAGGGTATACACCCCATACCTGGCTCAGAAGTATTTAATGCTGTTCCTGATCTCAGGAGAAAGGATTTGCTATTTCACCATTAAGTTTTTCAAAGATTTTCATTATCTGATAGAGAAAGTTTCCTTCTTGCAAAGATTTTTTTTTTAAATATTTCTTTATTTTTTAGTTATTGGCAGACACAACATCTTTGTTTGTATGTGGTGCTGAGGATCGAACCCGGGCCACAAGCATGCCAGGCGAGCGCGCTACCGCTTGAGCCACATCCCCAGCCCCTTGCAAAGATTTTTTAGTGTTAATGGATTTTGAATTTTGTCAAATGCTTTTTCTGCATTTGAGACCATCATTTTGTTTACTCTCTGATTAATGTGGTAAATCAAGTTGATTTTTTCAATGTTAAAGTTCACTCTCCTTGGTCAGAGTTCCTTTGATGTTGTGAGGTTCAGTTTGTGAATATTTTAAGAATTTAAAAMTCTATGTTCATGAGGGTCATTGGTCTGTAATTCTCTTGTAAAATGTTGTCAAATCTTGGTATTAGGATTATACTGGTCTCATGTGAGTTAAGGTGTTTCTTACTGTTCTGCTTTCTGAAACAGTATAGGATTGGTACTCTGTATTACTTAAATGTCTGGGGGGAAAATGGCTGAGGCTGATTGTGTTGGTGCATGCCTATAATTTCAGTGAATAGGAAAGCTGAGATAAGAGGGTGGGAAGTTTAAGGTCAGCCTCAGCAATTTAGGGATGACCTAAGCAACTTAGTGAGGCCCTGTCTCAAAAAATAAAAAGGGCTAGGAATGTAGCTCATTGGGTAAGTGTCCCTGGGTCAATCCCTACTACCAAAAAAAAAAAAAAAAAAAAAGTGAAGACTCAGATTCCCACATTACCTACCTGCAGTAAGTTGACTCTCCTTTCTCTGGCACATCTTTTTGTAAAAATGATAAATTATTATTTAATAAACTCTTCAAACAAGGTAGAAAAGTCCAAAGATAAAAACTTGCACATTTGACTGACATCCTTTCAGACTGCTGCCTCAGGTACCACTAGGGATTTAACAACCAATGAGTGCCCTACCACTAGCTACGTCCCCAGCTTTTTTATTGTGAGATAGATTTGCCCAGGTTGGCCTTAGACAACTTGTGATCCTCCTAATTGTCCAAGTTGCTGGGATTATAGTATGCATGCATCATAATTTTCTTAATTAGTGTCCTAATGATGTTATTTATATTGCCCTTAGAGACATTTATCATTAAAAAAAGGTAGCAAAAATATCTCTGTGAATCTCTTCTTTTTCTTGGTGTAACTGCCTTATGAAATAAGAATTTTGGGGCAAAGGCTAATGCATGTCAGTTTCGGTAAATAAGGTTGTAGCAATTTCATCTGTACATCAATAATGTAGGATGGGAACTGTATTCCTACATATCAATACTGATAGGCCAAAAAAAAAAAAAAATCTGTTTAGGGGCTGGGGATGTAGCTCATTGGCAGACCACTTGCATAGCCTGCATAAGGCCCTGATGGAGAAAAAAAAAATGTTTGGAAGTTGGACATCCTTGATGACTGGATTTTTTTTTTTTTTGGCTTAAGAATGTCCTATTGCTATCTCTTGCCAATTTTTAAATTAGGGTTTTAAGTCTTTTTTTTTTCCCCCTGGTACTCAGGATTAAACTCAGGGGTGTTCTATAACAGAGCTACACTGCCAGCAGGACACCCTTACCACCTTTTAAAATTTTGAGACAGAGTCCCCTAAGTTGCAAAGCTGGCCTCTGTGTTCCTCTAGCTTCAGCCTCCTGATTCACTGAGATTGGGAGTGTGAAACACTGTACCTGGCTTTAAGTTTTAATTGATTTTCTACGAGCTCTTTCTATGTTTTTCTTTTTGGAAATGACAATTTATTTTCCCTTGGTTCACTGTTTTCAAATTTATAGATTACAACCTTCATGTATTTAAATTTATTTTTCATATTTTATAATTCTTGGTTTTTATTTCATACTTGGAGAAGGCCTAACCTCAAGATTACAAAAACATTCACCTTGATTTGCTTGTTTTTAGATTATTCTTTAAATCTTTGATTCATTAAGTATTTATTCTGGTGTAAGAAATTAGATACATGTAAAGGTTCTCTTCAATGCCTACTGTTTCTTGATTTCTTTTCTCACTGGCCCATGATTTGTAATGTATAGTTTACTGGTTACTATTAAGAGTTATGGAGTTGTCTGATTCCAACATTTATAAGTAATGGTTCTGATAATTGTATTTACCTTAAGAGTTGGGACTAAGAAATAACATCATCTGAAAAAGCACTGCAGCTCTTGATACATAAATGCTCAGCACAATACATATACACCAATTTACTTCTGAATCCTCCTGTTCATGGATGTATCTTCCGTATCTCATTTATATAATCCATCCATTAACACTGTCATTTCTCATGGTCACTTTTTTCTCGTTTCAACAAAAATGTCACATTTCAGTTGCCTTTCTAATCACAACTAGAACCTGAATATATTAATCTTGCAGGTAACAATTAGCTGTGCTTCACAACGTAGTGAGAACCAAAATCCAAACTCTAAAGCACTGAACAAGTGGGAAATAAAGGGTGCCTATTTCTTTCCCTATCTGTTTTGAAAGGATGGAAGAAGCCAGTCTTATTTCAGCTCTTGGGTTACAAACGGTATTCTCAAACGCTGGTACCCTCTCAACTTCCAAGCCTAGTTTACAGCCTGAAGGTAAGYAGATCACTCTGGGGCAACTACTCTGAGATTCCGGGCAGGAGGTGAGGGGTTTGGGAGGATTCCCTCYTGGGTCTTTGGTCCTGACCTGAGAGTTCTCTCGAGGCCCGCTGGGCCCACTCCCAGCTCGAGGGTGATGCCCCACCGCAGACGTTGTGGGGAGACGACTTCTTGAGCTCGCAAACGTGCACGCAGGCAGGACAGCAGGCGGGCTTGGCGGGCAGAGTGGCGGCAGGACTCCCATCCCTGCCCTCAGGAAGCCCAGAAAGAGCGGGCAGAGTAACGAAAGGCGCGCGCGGAGGAACCACCCCAAAGACGCCGCAACGGGCCGACGCCAGGGGGCCCGGCTTCCCGCTCCAACGACGCGCGTCACTCTGGCTCCTAGAAACAAGCGCCCCGGGGCTTGGCCTGCCCTTCCCTTGGGCTCCGGAGAATTTCTGTGGCCACCCTAGCCCYACTATGACCGCCGTTCCCGCCGCAGACACCTCGGATCCCGGGGCGGTTGGTCTGCCTCCTCCCTCTAACCGCTCTGGCCGTGGCCGGCGCGCGGCGTCGGTGACGTCGACGTAGGGGCGGGACTTCCGGCTTAGCCCGCCGCGGGGTCTCGGGACCGGGTCGGCGCCTTGGCGCTGGAGGGGCGTCTGGCGTCGGGCGTCGGGCCGAGGCGGCGAGTTGGCCGCACCTCGGCGCCGGGTCTGGCCCCGCACTTTGAGGGACCCTGTCCACCGAGGAGGAGCGGGGACTCTTCGCGGCCGCTCTCTCCGGTCTCGTGGCTCTACCGGGAGACCTCTTATTTCCCCAGGGTCCCAAGCTTGACACTCCTTCTCGGTCCTCCTGCACCTTTTTTGCTGCCTGCGGCGTGAGCGGGCGCTGAGACTCGCCAGACGTGGCTGGCGGGGCGGACACCCCTGCCGTAGGACTCTGTCCCTCAGCCTCAATGCCTCCGCGAACAAAGTTGAGTGGGTGTGGGTGGTTGGAGCTGTGGAGGTGTCCTCCGGGGGCGAGTGCGGCCAGAACACCCGTCACGGTTAAGTTTCCTGCGCKCACGTTGCAAGGACCGTGTGAGAGTATGGTACGTAAAGTCTCTTTCTAGGGACCGTGTCTCATTCATATTTTGGAATACTCTCCCCGCCCCCCGCCAGATTGCCCTTCATCTCCCTCCCTTTGTGTTACTTGGTTATAAAGTAATTGGACCGCGTGTTAGAAAAGCGAGACGTGTTCTGTAGCCAATTAAGTGCACACACAATTATGGAGCTCTTTGATGCACTCCGTCATGGTCTGGCATCTTCAGTTTAATTTGTGATGAAAAAGCTATGGTACCATTTTTCTTGTCTTTGAAGACAGGGATGTCTGCGAGTGCTATTGAGGTAATGTCCAACATGTTAGTGTATTTTCGGCTCCAATGGATACTTTGATAAATCTTTATTTAGTGTCCAAGTTTTGACAGAATAAATGGACACTTTGCTCCTAAAAATATCCATTGATAAATACTTTAAAAGCTTTTGGTCATATTACTTGTAACGATTAAGCTATTTCAAATAATTTCAAAGAAGTCTAGGATAAGGAGAAACTTATTTGAATTTTTCGTATATGATACATTCATAATTTGTTCAGACTGTGAGTGAGTACACAGTACTTTAGGTCTAAAACTGAGTAGGCTATTAAAGCATTGCTTCTGTTACCAAGCAACAAAATTGTAAACAAATCTAATATTCAACTAGAACATATTAAATGTATCTTTCCTGCAATTATGTGGGTTCATAATTATTTAAATTCATGGGTTTAGCCTACGTGGTTATGGTTAACAACTGACTTTTTGTATTCAGGTTTGATTTCAAACATTTTGTTTAGAATCATTAAAATGTTTTAAATTTCAGTGTTGCACAGGAGTCTTCTGAAAGTTGAAAGTGATTTTTATTTGCTCTTTGTTTATCATAGATTATTATGATGGGTATTCCTGTTATTTTGAGTATTTTCTAGTTGAGGTGTGCTGACTATATTTAGGACTATTTTCAAATAACAGCCTGGAAGCAATTTAGAGTAACCTACAGCATTTGGGTGATTTAAATATTGATTATTTACAAGTACTTTTTAAGTCTTGATCTAGCATGTAACCTCACTCTTCACTCATTGAACCCCTAATTATATAAYTTATATGACAAACTAAGTTCTCAGCAGGTTTTTTTGTTTTTTGTTTTTTTTTTTTTGGTACCAGGGATTGAACCCAGGGGTACTTAACCATTGAGCCACATTCTCAGCCCTTTTTTATATTTTATTTAGAGACAGGGTCTTGGTAAATTGCTTAGAACCTCATTGATTTCCTGTGGCAGCTCTGAATTCAGATCTTCCTGCCTCAGCCTCCTGACCTGCTGGGAGGATGCCTGCCTAACCAAGTTTTCAGAACTTTTTAAATGATCCTTTCAATGCAGTAGCCTTTCAAGTAAGTATGTGAGGAGATTTGAGATTGGGACAAATGACCTCTTTGAAACTGAATTGTTACTAATGGGGAGTAGGAACTTCCAAGTGTACTTAATATCCTTGGTATGGCTAAAATCTATAGACTTCAATTTTGGTGTCCTCCCTACCTCCCATATGCTGATGTTGAAATAATATTCAGAAGTTAGGCAAGACAAAGAAGAAAAAAATCAAGAATAATTCATGTTGTGTGTGTAATAAAGTTATTAGTAATTAGAAATCAGAATTATGGAACTATGTCATTAGAAAGGTCTAATTCAAGAAGCTTAGAAGAATTAATTCTTCTTTTTTATACTGGACATTGAACCCGGGGCGCTTAACTGCTGAGCCATGTCCCCAGCCCTTTAAATTTTTTGTTTTGAGATGGGATCTTACTAAATTGTTTAGGGCCTTGCTAAGTTTTTGAGGCTGGTCTTGAACTTGTGATCTTCCTGAGCCACTGGGATTATAGATGTATGCCACCGTGCCAGGCCAGAAGAATGATTGTTAACAGATTAGTGAATTGTCAAAAATTTGCCCCTCAGACACTGTCTCTTTTCATAAAGTAAATTAATTTGGTTTTAATGTTGTTATATGTAATGTATTAGGCTTAGTAAGAAATTTTCTTACCTTGTTTAACCTGTGTGTACTTCTAGAGAATGTGTATATATGTATCCATGTAAAAAGGTTTTACTAATTGAAATTCATAGTTGAATTCTTAATTTTCTCACCTGTCATTCCAAGCTTATATTCTTGATTTCTTTCTTTCTTAAAATCTTAATTTCTATACGGTTCAATTCCATCATGACCTCCAAAATCTTTTTTACCACTGAGCAACATTCCTAGACTGTTTTTATATTTTAAGACAGGACCTTGCTAAGTTATTAAGGATGTCCTCAAACTTGTAATCCTTCTGCCTCAGCATCCTGAGTTTCTGAGTATGCTACCTGCCTGGCTGTAATACACATTTGTGAGTCATGCTTATTTGATACTTTGTTATATTACTTTGTCTTGCCTTCCTAACTAGATTCTGAGCTATTTAAGGGCAAAACACCAAATCTCAGTAAGCTATATCCTTAGTTTCTTCCAAATAGAGACTGCTGAATAAATGTTTCCCAAAGATGATGAATATGTATTTGTATGCTTACCCCATTCTATAGCATAGGGGAAGTGAGAACATTGTTTAGAGARGGTAGTAACTGACTTATGAAAAACAACAGTAAGCTATAAGAAAGGGGATTAAAAAGTGGGGGTTTATTGAAATCAAAGGGAAAGGCTCTGTTCCTAGAAAGTGTGCATATTTGAGAATTTCCCATGATAGTACCAGCAGGAGGGATTCCCTCAGGCATGCTGGCACTTCTCCCATGTGGGTTATCGAATTTGATCAATTTCCTTATTCTTCTTTAATTTGTTTTTTCCTTCAGCTTTCCTCTCKTACCCGCCTTCCATCCTCTTTCCCCATTTCCCTATTTTATTCCTTTCCATCCTACTTTTTTTTTTTTTTTTGAAGGGGGGATACTTGGGATTGAACCCAGGGGTGCTTAACAAATGAGCCACATCCCCAGACCCCTTCCCCGCTTTTAAAATTTTTTTTTTTTTTTTAAGAGACAAGGTCTCACTAAGTTGCTGAGGCTGAATTTGAACTCAGAATCTTCCTGCCTCATCCTCGCTACACGATGAATTCTCTCTCTTGGTGCTTGGTTTCAGCATCTTGACATGGGCCGTCCATCTTTATGGACACCCTTTTCACCCCAGTTGGGTTCNTGAAGGGGGGATACTTGGGATTGAACCCAGGGGTGCTTAACAAATGAGCCACATCCCCAGACCCCTTCCCCGCTTTTAAAATTTTTTTTTTTTTTAAGAGACAAGGTCTCACTAAGTTGCTGAGGCTGAATTTGAACTCAGAATCTTCCTGCCTCATCCTCCTGAGCTGCTGTCCATCCTACTTTTTGACCTGGTCAAGACTAAACATTTGTTAGTATTTTCATCTGGCCCTCATAAATTAGCAGTTCTCTGAAATATATCTATATCTATCTCCATCTATCCATCCTCCATCAGTACTGCCCTCTGGTTCATGGAAAAAAATAACTGTCAAGTCCAGTAATATTTCTTGTAAGTTTGAGCTGTAATTCAGTATGAAAGAAATTAAAGTCCAGAATGTCCAGTTATTTGATTTCTGTATATTGTGACTTCAAAGTGCTTTTGGATTAAATTCAAGGTTAGGAGGACCTAAACCTGCTTTTTTCATTTTGGAAAGAACTTGTCATCCTCAAAGTAGGTCTTTGAAATTTCCAGGTAATTTGTATAATCTTGCCATAAATCTGTATCTGATGCTTATAACAAAGAGTTACTTCGGTTGCAGATATAAAAAATTGAAATTGAGTCTTAATATTTTAAAATCTTGGTTTGATTCAGTTTTTTTTTTTTTTTGAGTTTGCCAGTCTAGTTTCTGAATTGTTGCCCAGTAACACAATTGCAGTATACATAGCAACCATTGGAAACAGTGGCTCTGGGACTATGGGGCTTTTCCTTATGTTGTTGCAGTGCTTATCTCTAATTTATTATTTAATCTTGTTACCTGAATCACATTTTGGTTTAAGCAGGTATTTTAGAGATTTTTAAAAAGCATAAAATATATGTTCTTAACTTTTATGGAATGTTGACAAATGATAACTTTTTTAAAAAATTATTTTTTAGTTGTAGTTGGACACAATATCTTTATTTTTAATGTGGTGCTGAGGACTGAATCCCGGGCCTCGAACGTGCTCTACCACTGAGCCACTACCCCAGCCCCGACAAATGATAAATTTTTGCATTGTTTTTCACAAAGAAATGTGTGATAAATATGTATTGAATTGAATTATAGTGTATGTGAAGGACATGTGAAAAGACTGTATCAACTAAAAATTATTCTATTCTGGGCAGAAAAACTATTAAGTAAAAGTTAACATCACACTTCTCTACAACTGATATAGCCAGCTGGAATGGATGAAATTGAAATGAACTTTTTTGTGTTACTTCTGGAACTTCTGGAAGAGCTATATCAGTAAGCATAATTGAATAGGCACTGGGATTTTGTGGGAAGAGAGTTGTGATTCAGGAGATGAAGCCTTGACTGGATGAGTCACTTAACCTTTCTTGGCCTATTTTTCCTATAAAGACTTATTTAAGAAATTGTATGCTTCCAATTATTTTAGTGCTTATTATATATTTTGCACTGTGCTGGGCACTGGGGGGATTGAGAGTAAGACTTAATGCTGTTTCAAATGCCTTCTCCACTCGGAGAAATGGATAAAGTAACTTGTAATAGAATGTGGTAAATGTTCTGAGGATAACTGAGAATATATTCTGGGTTAAGTAGGAAGGATACTTGACCTAGAATTGCAGCTGAGGAATGTTAATTAGAATTAGTACATATAATTTGAGCATATTTAGAAAAGTATTCAACCTGACCTGACGAGAATTAGGGAAAACTAGGGAGAGAAAATGTGTTGGAATTGGAGAGACAGAATCAGGAGTTATCAGCAACAGTCATAATTGAGATCCTAGATGTAGATGACATTCCTAGGGATAGTGTGTAAAATCAGAAAAGAGTGAGTATCAAGTTGTAATGGGTAG